ACAAAGCAGCAAATTTACCTCTAGTGAATTCTAGCAAATTTGTCAAGAATTCACTCGAGTCTTTTCACCAACATTGTCTAAATACTGCAGTGGAAACAGAAGTAGTTTTTTGTATGTATTGTATGTTTTTGCATGTTTTCCATTAGTTAGAAAACATGAAATACTAGTGCCAAGGAGGCCTGAAGCATGTTTATATTTGGGAATTAAAGCCACAAGAATGCATCATATGTTCACTTTAAATATGCATAAAAGAAATAAACACTTCTTGGGTTAGCGCAGAACAATCAACCCAGATCAGGATGTGAGCTCTGAGAGTACAAAGCCTTGTGGATTCTTTAATAGGGTTTTGAATTGTTTGACAGTGATCAGTATTCAGTGCATTCATGGTTGGTTAGTTAAAAAGACTGCTCTCTCTCTGAGTTTACTGGGACGACTGCACCACATTCGGCACTTTCCAAAAGATCGGCATTGCTTTGTGTCAATTAAAACGTACATGCTGGCTGAACTGAGCGGGGAATTGAACCATCGACTGAAGAATCGTGACCGAGGGCACACAGGAAACACACAAGCTCATTAACAGTGAATGAAAGCGCCAAACAGAATGGAGCCAAACAATGATGACGTAAAGTATCCCAACAGAAGTATAACAGAAGCCTTTATTCATACATCCACAGAGGACAGCGCCATCTAGTGTTTCAGGTAACATTATTGTAAGAGAATTTAAGTAATTTTGACTTTTTGAAATCATACTAGGTCGACTTTTTGAAATCATACTATGTTTACTTTTTGAAATCATACTATGTCCACTTTTTGAAATCATACTATGTTAACTTTTTGAAATCATACTATGTTGACTTTTTGAAATCATACTATGTCCACTTTTTGAAATCATACGATGTTCACTTTTTGAAATCATACTATGTTGACTTTTTGAAATCATACTATGTCCACTTTTTGAAATCATACTATGTCCACTTTTTGAAATCATACTATGTCCACTTTTTGAAATCATACGATGTTGACTTTTTGAAATCATACTAAGTTGACTTTTTGAAATCATACTAAGTTCACTTTTTGAAATCATACAATGTTGACGTTTTAAAATCATACTATGTCAACTTTTTGAAATCATACGATGTTGACTTTTTGAAATCATACTATGTCCACTTTTTGAAATCATACTATGTTGACTTTTTGAAATCATACTATGTCAACTTTTTGAAATCATACGATGTTGACTTTTTGAAATCATACTAAGTTCACTTTTTGAAATCATACTATGTTGACTTTTTGAAATCATACTATGTCCACTTTTTGAAATCATACTATGTCCACTTTTTGAAATCATACTATGTCCACTTTTTGAAATCATACTGTGTCCACTTTTTGAAATCATACGATGTTCACTTTTTGAAATCATACTATGTTGACTTTTTTAAAATCATACTATGTTGACTTTTTGAAATCATACTATGTCCACTTTTTGAAATCATACTATGTCCACTTTTTGAAATCATACGATGTTGACTTTTTGAAATCATACTAAGTTCACTTTTTGAAATCATACTATGTTGACTTTTTGAAATCATACTATGTCCACTTTTTGAAATCATACTATGTCACTTTTTGAAATCATACGATGTTGACTTTTTGAAATCATACTAAGTTCACTTTTTGAAATCATACTATGTTGACTTTTTGAAATCATACTATGTTCACTTTTTGAAATCATACTATGTTCACTTTTTGAAATCATATTATGTTCACTTTTTGAAATCATACTATGTTGACTTTTTGAAATCATATTATGTTGACTTTTTGAAATCATACTATGTTGACTTTTCACGTCTCCCTGGGCCCATATAAACTTCTCCCGCTTAAGACATCCAGTCGGTCTTCAGCCTTTTACTTCCACCCTTTCTTGGACAAGCTGAAAACTTCTACAACACTTATGAGGTGAATTTTGACTTTGAAAACAGCTTCAGAACAGCGCTCTCTGATATGAAGGTTGTTTGTTCAAATCATGCTCCTGACATAAACATTGCCAAAAGCCTAGCAGTGACAAGACTGTTACTGTGTCCTTGGGCAAGACAGTTAACCCGCCTCACTCCTGGATATTTCTACACTAGTGTATGAATGTGCGTGTGCATGTGCGCGTGTGTGTGGGTGTGTGTGAAAGGGTGAGCGGTTCCTTGCTGTGGCCAAACCTCCTTGATCTCGTCAGATCTCAGAAGCCATGTTGAGGCTGGTTTGTACCTGAGAAATTCAGGTGCCACAGTGGGGCACCGGTAGCAGTTGCAAGGTACTTTACCCACATTGCCTGTTATGAATGTGTTTTGTATGTGTTCTGTATGTGTGTGTGTGTATCAATGCTGCTGGCAGTTGGAGAAGCAGATTGTGAAGATCATATGTGTTTGCGATCAATATCAGCAATAAATAGTTTGCAGTTACACGCACTGCTCTGATTTCGTTACAACATGCTGCTTGTACAATTAGTATTTTATAGGTAAAAGAATAATAAATGTCAGAATTTATGAGAGAAAAGTCAGGTACTTAAAGATTTTTATTTGCTTTTATGTATTATCATTTATAAAAGTAAAAATATAATTTCCTATTCTCAATACATTTTTGGAAACATTTTTAAAAAGCGTTTTCAATCATGTTTAACCCTAATTTACATAACAAAGCAATAACAATTCACTAATACTTCCTATAGGCTCAGTTTTAACTCCTGTTTTGCCAACACTTTTCGCCGCACATATGTTTATCCTTTAGCTTAGCCTTCCACAATTAAAACCATTAGCATAACACGCTAGCACAACAATAGCGTCAGGATGGAAATGGCCGCTGTGTTTTGGCCCAGTGTTTTAAGCATATTGCACGATAGGCCACATACACAGGCCTGCTCTGAGACAATACCATAATTAGCATAATCATGATTATTTTTGCCTGCGTTTTAATTAGTCTTATGAAGTTCCATTAAGCTCCATTGAGGAAGCAGCTGCCCACCTGTCTGCCGCTCCTGGGAAAGGGCTGGGGGGGCCGTTCACGCAGAGAGGTACCATCATGCACTGGGGGCGAGATGACGGGGGGGGGGGGGGGTACAGAAGGGCCCCTTACAGCCTGTGAGGGGCCCGCCGCGGTGCACTTAGCAATTAATGCCCTGAGAGGAGCAGGGCTAATCAATCAGGCTATTTGGGGAGAGGAGATTTGATGACGGTGTTGACGTTATAGACGGTGTTTCGTGGCGCGGATTTAACACAATTTGACCGATTTTAGGAAATAACGAAGTCCTGAGATGGAGTCAGAGGGGACAGAGAGAAACTATAGCTGACCACATCTATTGATAAAACGTTTCATTATCATATGTCATATTTATAATCCCACAACAGAAAAAATGCGTAATAATATCGAGTTCTCTTTTCACGATATGCATGTACGATATTTATTGCGATTATTTATGTTATGTAGGCTAACAAAAGTGTGAATATGCTACTTTTCTCTCGCCATAATCCAAATAATTAAGATTGAAAAGTGCTTAATAACCATTGTTTCAACATGCAGATTGACTGAAATAGCGCAAAGGATCTTGGTCTATGTAGTTCCCTCATTTTTTTTAGCTATTGCTGTGCCATAACTATAAATTTAAGCAAATAAACTTGTGATTTGATATATTGTGATGGTCCAAGATATTATTGTGAGACTTTTGACGATACGATATCACGATATTTCGGTTATTGTTACATCGCTAGTATTTGAACTACAATGGATCATACATGTTTGAATGAGCCAAAAAGGTTTCAAAATAATAAAATGACTAAAAGCTACTGATTAAAGTTCATTTTAATGGCCCCACAGTGTCACTTTTTAGCAAAAAAACAGAAGTATGAAAATAAAACCTGTTTGTTTACATTGAAAAATATAGAAAACGTGTCCTTATTGTGAGCATGCTTGCATTTCCACAAACCTGACTCTTGACATATTTCATCTGGAAGAAGGCCTCCTCCTGCTTGTTTCCATGGAGATGTTGCTCCTTTGGTTATAATGTTCCACAGTGCATCAGAAAACGTATCTACATCCATGAAGAATGAACCAAAGTATGGTTTTACTTTTTATTTCCATTCAATCACGAAGGCGATCTGGCGATTCTAGAGTTATGCAGTGTTTTTTTTTTCTTGATAAACAGTTTTTCTCTTTTTCAAGGCTTGTTAAAAGGCTTTTCAATAATCAATACATTGCTAATTTGATTCATTTCTTTGACGGCATCCAGCTATTTCTGCAAAGCAATGGGAGCGTTTTGAAAGTGGTTCTAACATAACATAAAAGCCTCCTCATTTTCGCAGCTTCCCACAGATCCATATGACAAATGTGTACGTTAAAAAGGCTTTATGAATGAGTTTAGTTAGAACTGCCTCATTCAAAAACAGTCTGCAGAAATCATATCACATTAATTGTATGAGCTCTAACCCATTATATCCCAAAGACTGACTGTCAGGTGGGTCGCTGCAGATTTTTTTGGGGTCACCTTGTCACAATCTGCATGTAGCTCTGCAATATACATACATCTCCACGCACTCCTCCTCACTTTTTCTCTGGGCACGGAATCTCCACACACCCTCCCCACTCCTCACTTCTTCTCCGTGCACGACCTTGCCTAACCAGTTTTCTGCGGGAAACACTGATTACTGTTTTTCATTGTTTAAAACTTGAGTAATACTAATTGTTCAGAGAGACACGATCACTCAGTCAGCAGTAAAATATCCTCATTAATGTTCAATATAATGGTCACAAATTTATTTTGTGATTTACGAATAATGTCTATTGACTTGGGTTGTGAAGGTTTATGACTTTTAAAATATGGGTCCCCAGAAAAAAAGTTTGGGAAACACTGATCTAAACCTTTTCCAACTTCATCATCTTTACAAACGAAGCTTCATCGTCTTTACAAACACAGATCGCAATACTGTTTAATAATAATAATTAAAAAAAATAAGCCAAAGTGAACTGAACATTTTATTTTACTAAAAAACAACCAATACATTGAGCTTCAAGAAAATGCCAAAAATCCAGACTGGTATACATTCTTCAAATGTATAGCTAAATATAAATGAGAAAGAGTCAAATTTTATACAAACAAACGTATTTTTGTAAATTTTAAACTATAAAGGCGATCTCATTGTAAAGTAGCGGGGCCTGGGGGTTTTGTCTTTGGTTTAAAAATGTGTTCATTTTGTAACAGACTCAGAACAGGAAGCACCATTGTCTCAGCATAACAGCTCTATACTCCCCTCTAGTGGTGAGGAGAGGGACAGCAGTAAAATGTTCATTACTCGTTAAAAATAAGCAAATACACGTTTTTGTTTTTTTACCATAGTAGAAAAAATTGCTAAAATATTATAATGTCTTTAAAAAATTGTTAGCGTTTTACCATGTTTGATCCACACAACAATATTTAGGTTAAAATTTACACACGTTTTTTTTTAGCTTTTTACAATAATAGAAAAAAAAAAAAAAAAAAACAAAAATGAATAAAATTTGATAACTGTGTTCTAAAATCTTAAATTTTCTATCTTATTTATGTGGTATATTTAGACAGGCGCTTATTTAAAATGTGAATGTAATGGAAGTACATACAATTTGGGCAGATTTTGAAACATATTTTAACTTTCTTTTTTTCTGTCTTTCTTTTTTTAGATACAAGAAATCATTTTGAGGCATTTGGTCATATACGTGTTCACAGATGGAATGTTCCGACCTCAATATAGGTACTCCCCTCTCTTTCTTTTTACCTCCTCTCGCTTTTCTCCTCTTCCTCCTCCCACCTCCCTCTCTACTCTCATCTTGCTCTCATCTTCATCCTCTCACCCTCTGCTCTGTCTTTCTCCTTCTCCTACTCCTTCCCTCTTCCTCCTCTCCCTTTACCTCTCCTCCTCTCCTCTTCCTCTCTTTCTAGCCGTTCAGTTTCTCTCCCTCTTCCGTCCTCACTGCGGTCAGCTGGTTGTCGTGGTGGGGCTCTTCTCCTGGCATCTGAAAAAGAAAAAGAAAACCATCTCAGTATATCATTTAGTATATATTTAGCAGTATTTGAGAGAGTATTGCAAATGTGTACTCAACTAAAAGTACAGTTACATGGCCAGTAATGTACTCAATTACACTGCTGCCTAAATTATACTTAAGTAAAAGCAGAAGTACACATGAAAAATACTACTCAATACAGTTTTCAATTGACACTACAAGTATAGTTTTAAAAATCTACCAAAACTAAAAATATTTTACTGTATTTTCATTTTTGAGTTATTTTCTGTTACATTTAAAACACAGATTTTGCCTAACTTCCTTTTCTTTTAGTTAATTATGGTTTTCATATTAATATAATGAGTATATTTACAATTAAATATATGTTATAGGTATGTACAAACACTTCAACACATCATGATTTTTTTTATTTACTACAGAATACATAGTTATTTTTGTAGAATTTGAATTGTGCATCTATTTCCAATCCAGTCCAGTCTTTCTTAATTTAAAAACAAAAAAACAAAATGCAAATCCCACAAATCCCACTGAGGAAACATAACTGACGTCAAAATGTCTGACATCATTTTGTTGAAGACTGCTCCAACAGAACTGGACAAATGATTAAAAATGTCTGTGCGCCACCTGCTGGACATGTGCTGGATCGGTAGAGTGACTGCATTATCAGTGCAAGTACGCCCTCTGGTGGTTCACACAAAGAATTGCTATATATAATTTTATGGAATAGACAGCTTGAAGTGTTTATTGTGTAAGAAAAACGTTAATATGTCTTCCAAAATATTAAGATATATATATATATATATATATATATATATATATATTTTAAAAAAAAGATAAACAACTGTAATTATGATTTAAGTTTTTATTAATCTCAAAATGATTAGAGCTGTTATATTATGATGATAAATAAGTTATGATATAAAGGGAAATACTGGAATTTTTTTGTGATTTGTGTGCAAGATTTGTGTCTTGGCTTAAAGGTGCACTGTCTAACTTTTCTGGAGAGGTTCTACAACTTGTTTGTCTCCATGGAGATGTTAATGCTTCGGTTTAAATTGTCCACAGTATGGCATTAAAGTAATCTGTCATCGTTCAACTACGGGTGTTATTTATTACTCAAATATAACATGAATTTGAAAACAGGTGAAGGACCATTCACCGAACAAGATACACAGTGCAGCTTTAAACCTCAAATGAATCCCTTTTAATTGTGTTAATTTCAAATACATTTTTTATGCCAAGTGACCATAAAAGAGAGAAAGCACATACCTCCCAGTAGATGCTATCCTCGTAGCAAATGGCATCAGATGGAGCTCCATAGATTGGCAACTTCAAAATGAAACCTGTTCAAATAAAATATACAGGACATATAATGAGAGAATAGTTTAAACATATTAAAATATATAATAATTAGGGGTGAGATGAGACCCAGTTTCTATAAAATGAGATGAGAAACGAAATGGGAAATGGGTTAATGAGAACAAGACAAGATGAAATTTTAACATTTTAACGTCAACATTTGTGATTTACTTCATGATGTCATTGTAGCCTCATTTTTTGGTACAACACCTTCCCAAGAAATCTGACTTGCCAGCACTTAACTTTTTTTTGTCCAATCCAAATGTCAAAACAGTCTCACCAGATAATTTTACTCATGTTTGCACGATCTTGTAGCAATTTTGTCTCTCGAGATCTTGTTGTACGAGATCTTGTCCCATCCCTAATAATAATAATAACATTAAACGTACCGACGATGAGTCCTCCGAGCAGAGCGATGCCCAGGGTCACAGCGAGGGAGATGGCCTGTCTCACTCCCTGAACCGAGGCTGTGAAGTCTCCATTAGCGATCTGTGGAAACACGTCCTCCATTCTGCACACACGCACGCACGCACACACGCACACACACACACACACACACACACACACACACACACACACACACACACACACACACACACACACACACATACACATTGGAGTTATGATTTATGTTTACTGTATAAAGGGACATTGCACAACTTTTCTGCTGGAGGGAGTCTACTGTATCTAGCATTTATTAATTATGGGTGTTTCTACTGCTCAAAAATACAATAATTCTCTCAGTGAACAGGGTTGCCTCTCCACATATCTGAATTGTGATGTAGTTTATACTTGTCTCCCTTGAGATAGATGGGTTTAATCTCTACTGTGGAACATTCCAGGCAAAACAATAATATCTTCATGACAACAAGAAGCAGGTGATGGACTCTCAACAAGAAAAGTTAGACAATGCACCAGGACTACAACAGGTCTAAAGCAGAAAAAATGTGGCTGTTTGCTGTGGGTGTTCCAGTCAGTGGGAGCAGGTAGAGGGTGCTCTTGTAAAAAGCATCAAAACTTTTAACACAACAGAATCCAGGCACTCCAAAGAAGTAAAAACCTTGTGTGATTTTTACTTCTTAGGAGTGCCTGGATTCCGTTGTGTTAAAAGGTCTAAAGCAGGTCTAAAATGCTGAAGACTTTGTTTGGTTTGGTCTAAAGTCCGAATTTTTGATGGTGTGAATCTGAAGTTGGTGTGAAGTTGGTGTAAGTCTGAATGAAGCCTTATTCATATCTCAAATTTAATTCAGTTTAATTCAAACCAAGACAAAGCTATGTGTTCACTGAAACATCACCCAGTATAAACATGGTCTAAAATATGTCTTAACTAGACAAAAACAGAGTACCAAACTAAAACTACATTAGAACTAGGGGTGTGCAAAAATATCTAAATAACGATATATCGTTTTGTTTAATGTGATGATACAGTATCAATATCGTGGGCTGCTGTATCGATATATCGCCAAGAGTTTGTTTTTGGTCTATTTCACTAAATTATTTAGTTACAGCACTACAGTTTTGTTGCTTGTCTAGTAGAAGGAAACTCATTTATGCAACACGTTTGACATTTTCACTGTTTTAATGATTAAAATTAATATGTTTATATGAACTTTGCACAGGTCGTGGTTTAACAAAGACTTTTAGGATCACAGCCATGATTTAGCCTTTATTTTTCACTGAACTGTATCGAATCGATTTGAAATATATCGTGTCGAATATATCGAGATATGTATTGTATCGTGGCCTGTGTATCAAGGTATGTATCGTATCGGCAACTTTTTAATGATACCCAGCCCTGATCTATGTTATAATGTTGTTTCCTCATCACAAACAGACCAGGAGTTGTGTTTTGTTTCATTCACATATGTTTAACACACAAACCCTGCATATTTACGCTGTGTTCTTCACTCAGACAGAAAACAAATGACACTGATGTCATGTGGTAATACAGGAAGAGCTCCACTGTGTTTTTAAACTCCATACACCTTCACTAGAATCATGTGAATCATTTCAGCTCTGGAACTGCTGATTTCTACTGAACTAAAGGTAAAAATTAGCTGAATACTGGGCTGATAACTTAAAAACTACGACTCTATGACATCACAGAGTGGAACAGAGCATTTTGAGCTTTTGGAGATATAGACTAACTAACTAAAGTGTTACTTAAATATGTGTGAATGAAACAAAACACAACTCCAGGTCTGTTTTTGACGTGATAACAGCATTAACACATGACTTAAAGCTCACAAGAGTCAATGTTGTGTAATACAGGACCTTTAGACTATAGCAGGGGTCTCCAACCTGTAGTTCGGGAGCTACTGGTAGCTCTCCACCGCTTTCCAAGTAGCTTGCCAAGGGATTTCTGAATTACATGTATTGTGCTGAATAAGTAAAATTTGATTGATTAAAAGCCTATTACCATTGTACATGTATAATTTTGATGTCTAATTTTGTACACTAATAAATAAATAAAGGTTTATGTTTTATATACATCTAACTGTACCTCATCTAAGGCTCGCCATGATTCTTATATATGCTCAGTTGGACATCCCAGGACTATAGGGATTCTACCATGTCACATGAACATAACCTATTCAAACCTATGCTTCAAAGTGACATTGGCTCAGTTTTGTTTTACTGTTGGTCAGTGAATGCACCATCCCTCAGTAAATATTCCCAGTACTGAGCTCCACTGACTTTACCAATGATGTGTGTCCCTGATGTCCTCAAATGGAGTCTACATGTCTGACCACAAACTGTTTACACCCACATGCTCAAGGTAAACTCACCAGATCTGCCACTCAAGTCTGTTATTGTATCACTACTGGAATTAAGAATGTTACGAATAAACGCTTTTATATTCTTACTTGTTTTCAGGTGGAAGTTTTATTTGTAATTTTCTTGTAAGGTTCACTTTAAATGGGACTAACAATTTAATAAATGTTCTTTTTAGGGTAGTATCTTGACTTATCTCCTTCTCAGCTATCACCAAATACATATACATTGGCTGGGTGACTGAACTTTAAATGTATGTATGTAAAAAAAAAAAAAATAAAATAAAATAATAATAATAATAATATGTAAATATGTATAAAAATATGTAAAAAATTAAGTTAAGTTTTTAAGTAAAAAAACCCAAAAAACTCCAAAGTTACCTTTATAAACACTTTTCACAAATCTCAGAAGCCATAGTCTTGCTGTGGCGGTAAAGCTAACAACTACTGGCATGCGAATGTGCACTTCCTGATTATCACACAGTAAAATGCTTGATAATTAGAAAGCACACTGAAGACTTATTTTGACCTCAAGAGCTGCTTATACAATACTAGTAGCGGTATATCTGTACTGGGGCAAGACAACCTTTGCTCAAATACATGGGAAAAATCTTGCCTGACCAGCCAGTCTCTTCTACATTCTGTTTGAATCCAGAAGTGACTGGAACCGGACCACAGAGCTCTCAAATACAAAAGATATTTCCTTCCAAAAATTCAGATTCAGAACAAAAAACACCTAACTTCTTTTACTTGAGAGAAGTATAGAAGAAGAAGAAGAATTTTGGTGCTTTGATTGTTGTTACTGTTAAAACCTGAGCTGTTTCTTAGTCCTTTATGTTGTTTTTCCCTCCCCTTTTTTACACATTTGTTTCTGACGCAAACTAAGCATGCGTCTCTTTGGTTGGTTAATCAATCACTCCCTCTGAAATCAGGGAGACAGAATACAGCTCCAGATCCACTCGTCTTTGTAAAGTTTTGTCAAAGCATGTGGTTGTGGCTGGTCAGGTGAGGAAAAAATCCGGTGCAGGGCCTTTAAATACAGCTGTAATGTGATTCCTGTACATCTCTACAGTCACTCTGTTAAACGTACACAACTATAGTGCTGGGATTAGGCCCAGAGGAGGATCCTGTCTTCCCTCAGAACAGACAGTCTTTCTCTGATAGCAATCGCTGCTCTGACACCCTTACCCCTCTCCGTAGACGTCGTCGGTTGCCACGGCAGCAGTGACCGCCCCCACGATGGCTCCCAGCACTCCGGGCATGCCGTGGAGGTTATGGACCCCGCACGTGTCCTGGATCTTCAGCTTCGACTCCAGGATGGGCTACACAACGCACACACAAGACATGACGATTGTAAGTGGCCCCGAACCAGAAAGTTACATAGTGCACCTTTAAAATCACATATAAAAACCACAAAGAGGCTAAAAGTGGTGTTTAAACTCACAGAGAGGTACTTGAATCCGAGCACAGAGATGATTCCAGCGAGGAAGCCCACGATCATGGAGCCGACCGGAGTGAGCATCATCTCCCCTGCTGTGCCCGCCGCCACGCCACCTGCCAGCGCCGCGTTCTGGATGTGCACCTGGAACACAACAACAACAAATATTTTACACTTATTCACTCTTTTATGGTTACCTATGGACATTTTAGAAGCTCCACTGTGTAACATCTCAGCCAATAAAGAGACTAAAAGAAGTATTTTTTGTGCAAATAGCTCAAAAACTCATGTTTGTGTAATACCTCAGATGTCCAAGGGAAAATTTTATTCTGTCTTCACTTCACAACAAAAAACTTCTTTTGCTCGAAAAACTTGTATTCTTATCATACGTGGGCTTGCCTCTCTACAGAATTGACTTGGAAATGTGGATTGTTTATTGGCTGAAAGATTACATGGTGGTGCTTTAACTTCTGGTTGAGTTATACTATTTTGAATAGTTGGGGTTAGTTAAACTTACTTTTTACTGTGTAGTTTCTTATTTGCAAAACTTATACTGAGATAATTTGGACTTTTATCCTAAACACTGAAATTAATCCATGTATCATTTGTTCATTAGTTTTTCAAAATGAAACCAAAAATAAAAAAACGAAAAAAAAACCACCAAAAAACTATTTTCTTCATTATTTGTCTCCAAAACCAAAATGAAAAAACAGATAATGATACATTTTTTCAATTTTTGATTTTGTGTTAAAATGAATATTGGAAAAAACTGATAACGGCTATTTCCTGTTTCCGTGACTCAAACTGCGATGCCGGACTTTTGCACCACATACGGACTGAACCAGGACTAAACCAGGACTTAAATAGGACTAAACCAGGTCTAAACCAGGACTGAACCAAGGCTGAACCAGTACTGAGTGTCAAAATGGGCCTGGAGGTGCGCCCACATAGACCATTGGGTGATCAGGACTGAGACCGGGACCAGACTGGGACTGAGACCGGTTTCGTCCTGGTTTAATCCTGGTTTAGTCCTTGGTTTAGTCCTTGGTTTAGTCCTAGTTTAGACCTGGTTCAGTCCTGGTTTAGACCTGGTTTAGACCTGTTTTAGTCCTGTTTTAGTCCTGGTTCAATCCTGGGATCAGTCTGTATGCGATGCAAAAGTCCGGCACTGCAGAAACAGGAAACAGCCATGATCCGTTTTTTCCATCATTCATTTAAACACTCAATCAAAAACTGAAAAAAACAGATAATGATTCATTTTTCAGTTTTTGGTTTTGGGGACAAATACTGAAGAAAATTGTTGTTTCTTTGTTTTCTTATTTTTGGTTTTATTTTGAAAAAGAAATGAATGAATGATACACGGATTGAAATGTCTTTTATTTAATGTTTTATGTTTATAATTATAGTTCTTAATTATGGAAATAGGAAATAAACATAGAAGATAAAAAGTATGTATATAAAAAGCATTTTCACCAAAGTACTAATATCTTCACTACCACTCGTATATTCTAAAAGCAGAAAGTAATATTTCCAAGTACCACTACTGTTACCTGTAAGCTTTTTAGTCCATGCAGACCACCAGAGCTACCACTACTACATGCTCAGACTTGCCTTAGCTCTTCAGTATAGATAGACACGAGCTACTGGCCCGATCCTGTCTGCAGATAAGATCCCAGTACACGCTATGTGCACACCGACTCCATAAATATTATTCTGTTTTTAAAATGAAAAAGATACGATTATGTGATTTCCTACACTGGAGTAGTACAGGCATGAGTTCAAAAGTGCAGTGTTCTGAGTGACAGTGAGGGGTGTGTCTGCTTGATGACAGATGAGACGTCATAAAACTATTCACCTCGGGCAGTATGCAAAAACTTTTACTCCAAATGATTGACAAGTACGCATTAAAAGCATTGTTTACATCATCTCCTAGGGAAATACTGATAAATGATTTAAGTGGAGCCAAAATTTAGTTCTGATCATAACACAGATAGAAAACAGTAAATCAAAAAGACATAAGTAGAAAGATGGGTAGAGAAGTAGTAGTTCTACTGAAGTAATCGTGATGTTACTTCAAAATTATATTAAGCAGAACTCCAAGAAATTACTCAAGTGTTTGATAAAACTACTACTACCATAATATCAGTGTTGGGGAGTAACAGATTACATGTACTAGTGTTACGTAATCAGAGTAAAAATTATAAGTAACTGTATCCGGTTACAGTTACTGTTTCAATGAGTGGTAATTGGACTACAGTTACCTTGTTAAAATAAACGGATTACACTGAGATATTTTCCTGTTTTCACATTTTGGGCTATATCCCATTTTTCAATATATATTTTTTTATTTCGGTAATTCCACTCATTGCCGGAAACCTAAAGGTTGGTGGCGTCGGTCACACAGTAGATGAGGTCGAGGAGCCAGTAGAACAGAGCCAGCAGTGCACGAGCAACAACGCATTTGTGTCTTGGAAATTCAGACGTCACTTTGTATTTAAAAAAGAGAGGGACGGGCGTGTGGTGGGTGGGGTATGCGGGGGTACGCCGACCACCCACTTCTCCCGACGTGAGATATAAAAAAATAACAAATATAAAAACGCCTAAAACTTAAATGTCAAACTGGAGCGAATGGCACTGGTGAAAACAACCTGCATAGGCTCTTGATATCTGCAGTACTGTCCAATACAGTAGTGACCTGAGACATGAGGGGACACGCACACAAACACCCACAAACACCCATCTTCATCATCATCATCAACCTAAGACGTCTCCTTCTGTACTGCGTGGACACCGCTGTCGTCCCATGCGATGTGTGTTGACCGTGTTTTCTCGTGTGACAATATCAAGTAATCCAAAGTATTCAGATTACGATACTCACCTTAATGTAACTTAAAGCTTTCCGTTACAATCTACATTTTGGGTTATGTAATCTGTAATCTGTAGGGGAATACATTTTACAAGTAACCTTCCCAACACTGTACTATATTATTATAATGTTGTTACCTCATCAAAAACAGACCTTGACTTGTGTTTTGTTTCAATCATTTATTAATAGTCTGTTTATATCTCCAAAGCTCAAAATGCTCTGTTCCACCTTGTGATGTCATGAAGTGGTAGATGCCAAGTTAACAGCTACAGTACCTTTTACATTTTGTTTAGTAGAGATTGACAAATTCAGGGCTGAAATGATACAAATGATTCTAGTGAAGGTGTATAGAGTTTAGAAACACAGTGGAGAAACAACATGACATCACAAGGTGGAACAGACTGTTTTCATCGTAAATATGCAGGGTTTGTGTGTTAAAACATGTGTGAATGAAATGAAACACAACTCCTGGTCTGTCTGTGATGAGGAAACAACATTATAACAGATCAGAAAATAGCGTCATATGGGCCCTTTAAACTCTTAATATTACATTATTTGCGTGTGTGTGTTTGTACCATGTCCAGTTTTCCGTCGTGAGCGGTCAGAGAGGACAGAGCGTAGCTGGACAGAGTACACGCCGCCAGGGAGTAGTAGGTGTTGAGAGCCGTGCGGTGCTGGTCGTCTCCGTGGGCCGTGATGGCAGAGTTGAAGCTGGGCCAGAACATCCACAGGTAGATGGTTCCTACACACACACACACACACGCACACACAAATGTCAAACTTCAGCTCATTAAAGGTGCACTGTGTAACTTTTCTGGTGGAGGGTCTGTCACCTGCTTGTTTCTATGGATATGTGATTGCTCTGCCTGGAATGTTCTACCGTCCCACAGCTCTACCTTACATTTATTCAGTTACAGGTGGTTTTACAGGTTACAGCGGGGTCGCCTCTCCACAGATCTGACCTGTAACTCGGTCTGATTTGGTCTCCATGAAGATAGAAAGGTTTAATACTGTGAAACATTCCAGACAAATCAATAACATCTCCATGGAGAAAAGCAATTGACAGACTGTCCACCAGAAAAGTTACACAGTGCACCTTTAAGGACTTTAAATGGACATGGACACTTTTTGGACATCTTGACAGAACTGGACTTGACTGACTGTTAATGTTTGTATTGTCCAGTTGTGTACTTTTGTTTGTTGTTATTTCAATGTTTAGTAATGAGCAGAATACTGTAAATATCTGACCGATCATAGCGAAGAGGTCGGAGTGGTAGACAGAGCAGTTCTTGTGTTTGCTTTTCTCCAGGTTTGGTCTGTACAGCACTCGGGTCACCACCAGGCCAAAGTACGCTCCGAATGTGTGGATGGTCATGGAGCCACCTGCATCCTTGGCCTGACAGAGAAGTATAGAGTAAAGAGTGAGAACAGACTGTATGTAATAATCATAATAAAGAGATCTGTGAGCTTTACCCCCAAAGCAGTGAGCAGGACGAACTCATTGACGGCGAAGAGAGTGACCTCAAACAATGCCATGACGAGGAGCTGCACTGGGCTGGTCTTCCCCAGGACCGCCCCAAAGGAGATGAGCACAGAGCCAGTGCAGAAGTCTGCGTTGATCATACTGGGACAAGACAGGAGGCATCATGTAAAAAATGTAGGCCATAATGAAAGCAGAGCTAGTCTATCACCTAGAGCTCAGTTTTAATGTACGGTTGGAAACCTTTGGAACCAGACTAGTGTGCATTCATGTTTTCTAGATATTACAATATTATAAAAGCAAATTTACCAGAATCACGTGGTTTAAAATTGAAAACTGTTGAATAACCAATGTGTCAATTCAAATTCATGAATATAAAATAAACAAACTTAATATAAATGTTTGACCGTCTGACCTTGCAGCATTAGAATTCTTCCGCTAGAAGGTAGGCGGGTACATTTTTTCATTTAACCTGCTATTTGGTTGTGACATATATAACTGGTATATTAAGCTTTTCCCAAATCCTGTAGGAATAAGGGCAATAACGTCTTTCCCCTTGATAATTCACCAAACATTCTCTTTGTTCCGGCTTTAAAACCTCAATCTTGGGAACTGTTGCCAACACAGAATGTATGGCTCTTCGCTGATTGGCTAGTGTCTGAACTTGCACTTCTGGGATTTTTGCAAACCGTCTAGTGTATTCCGTTTCCTGATCTAGTCGCTGGAGAGAAATGAAATTGAGCGGAGGCACTAGGTGGCTCCACAGCCTGGCTAGTTTTGGGCCAACATTGGCAGGCAATTTGTCTTACTACCACTTTATAGACCAAAATGGGATATCGGATATCTTGGAACTGATATCGGACCTACTAAAATTGGCAATATCAGCACAGCTATCCGATACCATGCATTCCTAGCTTTTCAGTGAACTCCACTTAGTGCTGGCTGGCATTCCCAGTAAAGATAGGGCTGATCTTGCTCAAAATTAGACAGGATTAGAACCACTAGGACAGCTCACAGGAAATATTGTGATTTTCACTTTAAAAAGAAACTTTATAAAACTATAGAAAACAGTGTGCAGTACCTCTCGACTCCGATATGGATCTTTCCTCCGTGCATGCCATGGAAGAATCCCTGCATGAGCGTGGCCCACTGCAGAGAGAAGGCGGCGATCAGGAAGTTAAAACCCACACTGCTGAAGCCGTAACGCTGCAGGAACGTCATGAGGAACCCGAAGCCAATGAAGATCATCACGTGCACGTCCTGGAAACCTGCACACACGAGACATTCACTTATACAAACAGGAATGGAAATAAAATCATAACTGCAAAAATAAGGTTTTGGGGTAGAGTAGGAGTAAGTTTAAGAAATACCTCAAAGTATTTTTACTGCTACTGTTACTATGACCTCCAAGTAAAACACACCAAATGACCTCACCACTTGACCAGCAGACAATTCAAAGACACATTTCTATCATTTAAAATATTTACTTTACTCTTACATACACATATTTACAGTTATGCCTTATTTGACACCAGTCTCTTGCTAATTTGATATTTTTTACTTTTTGTTATTGTAATATAATGTGATGTGTGAGCTACTCTGTCCAAGTAATTTCTCTTGTGGATTAATAAAGTTTGTTTAAGTCGAAGTATAATTTGAAATCATATCTTCCTAGACTTGTGCTTATATAGTGTGTGTTATTATAAAATTATAGAGTGTTTGGCCAGACCAGATCACTAAAAACGATAAATACTGTAGTACCAACTCTGCTGTACTATAAAACGCAAAGTCTTAACTCATTCATCACTGCCATATAAACATGTATAGGAGAAGGCATTTGAATGTAATCTGATTCAAAAGATTTCACTCAATGCGGATTAGTCTGTTTTCACTGATCTGGTAAATCTGTTTGGTTTGCACCTTAATCCATGTAGCTGTAAACAATCATGACATGAACTTTAGAGATAATATCAGTCAAGTTTACAGTGATACTTAAGCTGGAATGAAACAATGTTCACGGTCATTTGATAAAAGTTATAGAAAATACATCGCATTTTTGATACAGTTCTTATTGTTTTATCCTCATTTTCAATTATGTAAAAGAAAAAAGTTATTCATGGATGATGAGAAATGTACAAAACTGTAATAAAAGAAAATTAAACAGAAAAAAAGAAAAAGAAAAAAAGTCTTCTGATATTTATTTTATGGGGAAAAAAATAATAATTAGAGCCATTTACATTTTTTTTTCTCTCTCCAGACTGAACTCTGATCCAAACCATGTGCTCCTGACAGATGACTGCCACGCCTCTCCATTAAAAGTATCAAAGCTGAACACTAGTGTTTAGAAATGATTAGATCTTGATATGATTACATGTCAATTAATTGCGCAGCCCTAATTATCGTGTTTACTTCTCTTTATTTATTCGGTGCTGTACTGCGGTCTCGGTCCAGCCCACAGATGGAATTTCTCCAACATTCAGGACAGAACATGTCACTTTCTCTAATGCCTTAATTAAGTAGTAACTAATCCTGGCAGATTGCTTCGAGGAACTGTACGCAAGGGTTTGATTTTAAATTTCATAAACATGACTTAACGGTGTCCTCAGATATGTAAACATGTTCAAATACTCACTTCTAATGTCGATGTACTAAATGACAAAAATACGAGATGTTATTGCCAAGTTGTTTAGAACACGGTGATCCAATCAAAAAACAGAATGAGCCTCAAGTGAGTCTTTCATTTGGGTTGCCAGTTTCTATGGTGAAATCCATTTGGTTTAAAACTAAAAGGCCTCTCCCTGATCTGAATTCTGAATATGTAAAACCCAGCAACATGAATCAGTGCAGTGAGCAGTGAATTCTGGAAGTTCTGAGCCTTCACATGAGAAATACTGAGAAAAACTTGTATGTGTAGCCTAATTTATCTGCAAATTATGGCATTAACAAGACAATCATCCATTCTGGCAACTCAGGTTCAGTTGTGATTGTAATAACTTTTTAAAAATCACTAAGATCACAGGCTTTGTAAAGTTCTTTTAACCCTTAGACGTTAAACTGCAAAGTAAAGAAACAAAAAATTTCACAGCTCCAGCAGGACATGTCGTGCGACGGTCACGCGATGTTATCAGCAGACACATGCAGACACACACAGTCTTATCTCTTATAGACACTTGGATGTGTAGAGAACAGTCCTTATATACGAGCAGGTGTTTGAGCCACACACACAGTACAGGTATGCATCAGGATGTGCATGTGTAAATACCACAGCATCTCGTGACAGTTAGAGCAGGTTAAACATTATCGGCTCTATTAAACATAATGGGCCTTAGACTCACTTTAACCTTGCAGTCACACTTAAAATGATGGACTTGTTTTATGGGGTGTGGAAAATGTTGATTTAGTGCATTTTGTAGTGCATTATCATACATTATTTGAGATTGGAATTTAATAGCTTTTTGGTTTTTTTTACTTAAAACTTTTGACTGATAAAGTTTGACTAGTGGAGCATCTGTCCAAAGCTTTTCTTCAAAGACATATCATTGTTTTGTCTGGAATGTTTCACAGTATGGCATTAAACCTTTCTATCTTCATGGAGACCAAACCAGACCAGGTTAGGGGTCAGATCTGTGGAGAGGGAACCCTGCTCACAGTCAGAGTACCTGATTTCTAGGGATTTTGCAGCTATAAATCCACCTGTAATTGAATAAATGTAAAGTAGAGCAGTTTAATATCACACTGTGGAACATTCCAGGCAGAGCCATGACATATCCATAGAAACAAGCATGGATGATGAAACCCCAACCAAAAAGTTACATAGTGCACCTTTAAAGTGTCTGTGCCAGATTTTTTTGTGTGTAGTTGAGCAAAATTTGTTTTATTCCAGCACAGATATGTTGTAGAAGCAGTGTGTAAGGTAGAAATGAGACTGCTATGTGCTGTCTACATCTAAGTACATAGCATTTTAACCTCAGATAATCAGGAAGTGCACTGTTGGCATGCTAGGTGTTTGCATTACCATGACTGCAAAACTCCACTCTGGCCTCTGAAAGTCATGAAAAGCACTTATAAACTCATCACTGCGAATAATTAGGATGCTCAGAATGCATAAGGTAAGTGAGGAATAACTTTGGTCTATTACACACTGTTGTAAAATGAACTCGATCTGTTTTGAAGACAGCCAACATCAGATACAGCGTGCAGAAGACGTGATTGGTTCAGACTTACACACCCACTTCTGCATAAAAATGATGATCAGATAAGAAGACAAAATGATTACTTAATTGCACGATTATGTCAAAGTATTTCCTTCACATGATGTATTCTGCTGACAGCTTTAATCGGCTGCTGTGGAGATATATATCAATGTGAATTCACTTAAATCTAAATATTTATTTCAATTTTTCATTTAATTTTGGTTAAAGGTGCATTGCGTGACTGTTCTGGTGGAGGGTCTGTTAAATACTTTTCTCCATGGAGATGTTTATTGCTTTGCTTTGTTGGAATGTTTCACAGTTTGGTATTAAACCTTTCTATGTTTTGAGCTATAAAGCCCCCTGTAATTAGATAAATGTGAGGTAGAGCTGTTTAATGTTTAAACGTTTCGGACAGAGCAATGACTATGATATCCATAGAAACAAGCAGGTGATGGACCCTCCACCAGAAAAGTTACACAATGCACCTTTAAGTGTATTTCTTTGAGAGTTATGACATAACATTTTCTTAATTCAGGGGTTGTTGTGAAAGTTGAAATTGTGGGTTAAGTTAAAAATCAGATGCCCTTCCAAACAAAACCTTTTAAACAGACATGAGGTTTATACATGTCATGATAAAATACGACTATAACAAAATCTAGGTCTGCAAATTATACTTTTAAAAATAATTAATTGTAACCTTCCAGATCTAATTTTATGTTGTGTTATTATCTTTACTTTGTTTAAACCCCTTATTTAAACACTGTCTTACTGTTCTATTGCCAAAATGCAAGTCTTGCGGTGAACCTAACAAATGAATTTCTTTGAATTTGAGTGTTTGTGAGGGAACAGGTTTGTCCACATTCTGAAAAGCGCCTGCATGCTGCCCTCTGGATACAATGGTACTGCAAAGTCACAGAGATGTGTAATGAAATTTTTCACAATCTTGGACATGTTCAGACCAAATTTGGATCAGCAGAGGGTTTTGGTGAGATTAAAGTAGCATTAAAGGTGCTTTGTGTAACATGTCTGCTTGTTGTCTCCATGGAGATGTTTATGCGTTTCCTAGAAAGTTCCAGAGTATGGCATTAAAGGCGAATTGTGTAACTTTTCTGGTGGAGGGTCAGTCAAGTGTTTTACTCTATAGAGATATTGCTTCATCTGAAATGTTTCACAGTATGGTGTTAAACCTTTCTATCTTCATGGAGACCAAACCAGACCAAGTTACAGGTCAGATCTGTGGAGAGGCGACGCCGCTCACAGCCAGAATGCATGTTTTTCTAGGTATTCTTTTGCTATAGAACCACTTATAATTATAATAAATGGGAAGTAGGGCTGTTTATTGTCATACTATGGAACATTCCAGGCAGAGTACTGACATATCCATAGAAATAACCCACAACAAAAAAGTTACATAGTGCACCTTGAAGCTTTTGTATCACCATGGAGACAAGCACCACAAACCAAGTTAAATTTGTTGTTTTGTTAAGGAATTTAACCACTCAGTAATACAAGATTGAACTATTTAATGCCAAACATTCTAGGCAAAGCAATAACATCCCCATGACAACAAGCAGACGGCCAATCCTTCACAAGAAAAGTCACACAGTGGGCTTTTAATTTGCATTTTAAAATTTGAATGAGCGATGTATTATAGTCAGGTTTATTTGGGACACTGTGACCTGGTTGTCTTGTCCCTTCTGATAAAAGCCTGTTTTAAAAAGCAGGGGCCATGTTTTCCATACAAAGTGAACAGAGCGTTTCCCCAGATTGTTCCAGGGTGGAGGGGGTTCACACGAAAGTTATGTAATCTAATGAGAGCAGGATCACATTGGGGCATTTATAATAGGAAGGGGTATGCTAATTGTGTGCTGTGCCATGTAACCTTTAAAGGGCCCATATTACGTTGTTTACTGATCTGTTATAATGTTGTTTCCTCATCACAAACAGACCTGTGGGTGTGTTCTGTTTCCTTCACGTGTGTTTATCAGACACGCCCTGAACGCTCTGTTCCACGTTGAGATGTGTTACAACACAAGACGTGCTCCACTCTGTTTTTAACAACATACAGCCTCACTCATTTCATCATTCATCATCTGGATAATTTCAGCCGTTAAACATCCAATCTCTGAGCCAAACTGAACCGAAGGTAAAAGGCCGCTGTTGACTTGAAAACAACCGCTTCATGACATCACAAGTTGGGACAGAACATTTTGAGCTTTGGAGTAAACAGACTAATAATAAAGGATTAATCATGTGTGAATGAAACAAACATAACAACAACATTCTAATATGGCTTATCTCACAAGAATCATCTTTGCAAAATATATGACTTTTAAACTTAACATGCATTATTCATTTATGGAGAGATTAATACATTCAATGCCATACTGTGGAAAAATCCAAACAAGCAATATCATCTCAGTTTCTTGGTTTCTGTATCGTTCAGTTTTAAGATGTCCAATATTTAGTATCAGAGGTTGCAGAGACGTCATTCACTGTTTTACATGCAAAACTAGTCCAAATAATACACTGTGTTTTATTTTTTATTCTACAAACGTCAACAGCTTTGCTTAGTGAGCCGAATCCTACCTAATGTAGCAGAAACTTGTAAACACCACCACTGTTTCTACTGTATTTTTATATAGCGTTCACAGTTGTCCTGGTTGGGGCCTGGTTCGAACCTTGAGTAGGGATGTAACAATATCCAAATCTCAGGGTATGATATTTTCACGATTTACATCTCAAGGTACGATATTTATTGCAATATTTTGTGGAGGCTAACAAAACTGTGAATATGCTACTTTTTCTTCTTAAAATGCCTTGACAAGACTTAATCCGAAGAACTAAGATTTAAAAGTGCTTAGAACTGCTATTTCTTCATGCCAAAACGGAGCAAAGGATCATGGTCGATATAGTTCCCTCTGTTTTTTTAGCTATTGCTGCACCATAACAATGAATTCAAGCAAAAAAACTTGTGATTCGATATGTTGTGATGGTCCACGATATTACTGAGAGACTTTTGATGATACAATATGACGATATTTTGGTTATTGTTACACTCCTACTGTTGAGACCAGATGCTGACTGTGTTTGGTCCTGTTCTAGTCCTGGTTTAGTTCTGATCTAGTCCAGGTCTGATTCAAAATTTTGTCTCAGTTTAGTCCCAGTTTTTATGTGCAAACTGTGAACACACCCTAAAAGTGCACGCTGCTTGGTTTGGTTTGACCTCTGACCTCATGTTGTTGGAGAAAGATAATTGAGTATTTCCCATCTTGCAGTGGAACAATCTCAAATACATTTTTATACAACATACTACAACAATCAAACAACGCTAAACAAGCAGACAGCGGATTGTGCAGTAGAATTGTTGACACTGGGATAATAATAGCTGTCTCTATTACAGTTAATTACTACTCTGTACTGAAGTCATTAAACTAAACTTTTTCCTAAACTACCTTAAAAACATGCATTCTAAAAGAGACTTGCTTGTCACCATGGAGATATTGTCCATGAAGACAAGCAGGGGTCTCCACTAGGTCACAGGTCACAGGTCAGATCTGTGGAGAGGCAACCCCGCTCACCTGTTTGTCAAAACAACCTATAACTGAATACATCAAAACAAAACAATAACATCTCCTATTAGACTCCTATTAATTATGTTATTAGTACACCTGAATAAGTCTATTTGTTCATTGTGGATGTCTTCAATCATACACTATAAAGGCTGTGATTAATGTGCTTTTATATATGTGTTACTCAGTTTACTAGAGTATACTTCACTATAGTTAATTGTATTTATTAAGTTCCTCCACTTATTGACACTTGTTGACAGCAGCTGGCAGAGCACTCACTGGGGTAGCGGTAGTAGAAATCATTGTGTCCGTTGCTGGATCCGTTGTGCAGATGCTCGTGCCACTCTTTAGCGTCTGTCTCGTGGTCATACTGCACCAGGGTCCCAAACAGGATCATCAGGATGATCTCCAGGATGAGGCAGGTGGAGGGCAGCTTCAGCCGCATGTTGGTGGTTGCGTCCGTCATGGTGCAGTCTGGGTAAAGGGCAGATTGTAAAGATCCTGGGGTAAAACTCACAGAGCACTGCAACAGAGAGCTGAGTGTGGTGAGAGGACACAGACAGGAGCAGTGACAGGAGCAGCATGCACTCTCACTGAGGAGGTTTTGTTCTGCAGGACAGGACACTCCCATCAGACCTGCCCCCTCCAGGAAGACCAAAGACAGGCAAGAGGAGGAACCAGGTGTGGAATGCACACTTGTCTATGCAATTAAAGTTGTATGACCTTTGAACTCACAGAACTTTAGTATCATTTACTACATTATGGTGGTTGGATGCTCTTGTTGCTACCTGCTTGACACACTCAGTAGTTTTTGGTTTAAATTTCTGTTTTTAAACCAAAAATCATGGGATTTTAACCAACTAAGAAGTGTAGCTTGTGGAGTTCAAACTAGAGCTTTGCACTCCCGCAGGCCTTCCACGGGACCTCACACAAAACAGTGCAGCATATTTTGAAAGCTAATTGCGAGTGTGGGCGGGAGCAGGACTGCACAATACGGGTAGGATGATAAACTGCAGTCCTGCACACTAAATATGACTGTAAAGTAGGGATTGGCATTCGATGAATTTTTCTTAATCGATCGTCGGAAGATTTAACGATCGATTATCGATTAATCATTAACGTTTTTATATTAAAATGATCATCATTATTATTACTATCTGCACTACTAATCTGCATAAATAAATTCAACTTTACGACATATAAACCGTAACGACTCTAGAGCCACATCAATCCGTTTCAATTCCGTTCAGTTTTGCGCAACTCTCACAGAAACGAAACTAAAAACCACATCGCTAATTTGCATAAACTCAGCGAAGATAAAACTACAGCTCTTGTGTTGCTGATGCGGTCAATTTCTGTCGGATTAAAAGACATGACTCGGTGGAATACAGGTTAGTGTGACCATATTTGCGTTTGTCAAAATCAGGACACCGTACGGGGGGTGGGAGGTGGGGACTCGTCATCGACATTGAGCGACTCTCACCTGGCAAAACTTTTTCCCACTGGACACAGAAACATATGTGCTGCTTTGTACACTGTGCACATGGACTCACACTTGTCCCGAACGCAACGGAAAGCGTGGAATTTCTTGTACAAGTCATCGTTAAATACGCATTTGTGCAGACTGACCGAATGTTTGTGTTTGCTCGCTCCTTCTGAGTGCAGAGAGACACATGTACGGACCCCTGTTTGGTCAGGCTACGCACAGCAACCTGCATTCGGTTTGTCGATTAAAATTAACGTAATTGATGAAATTCTTAATGATCAATTATCGATTAATCGATTAATCATGCCCATCCCTAGTGTAAAGTAAAATATACAAATGATTAATGCTTGCCTATCAAAACTCATTTGTGCTGGAAATTTTATTTGGTATTAATAAAAATATTTTAAGCAGCCTAAATTTGTGGACATCGTCTAATCTCGTGCACATTTTTTGGACAATTCCTTTCCCTTCTCCGTGTTTGATAGAGCTTATGAAAGCGAGATTTACGGGCGGGAGAGGGACAAAATATCACAGATGCAGGCGGGAGCCGGAATGAAAATTACAATTCTTCAAGGAGCTAGCTAGGGAGCTAGCTATGGACCTGTGAAATGCTACAGGTTTTACACCAAATGTGACAGAAGACCTTCCAAAGGAAATACTTTGATGGAAAGCCCAAACTCTTCATCAGTTGAAATAACAGAGCTGCTGTTGACCTAGTTCCCTCTAGAGACTGGCTGTACTGCTACAGGACACACAGGAGGGACTCTGTTGTCCTGGGGACTTTTACTCTCCTCAAACTGCCCTGAGGCAAAATCTGCTGACAGCTGACCAGACCTTGTTTTTAGTATCCCATTGCATGTAAGTGAAATGTTATTAGCTGTGTTATTTGCTGTGTACATGGTGCATGTGTTTGAACTTGTGACTGTTTGAACAGAAAAAATATAAATACCGTGGTGGTGACGGGTGTTAGCTTGTTTTTCTCCTGAAACTGAGTGTTAGCTTAAAGCATTTGGGCTCCTCTGCTCCAGTCTCTTTAGAGAGTCAACAGTCACACAAGGACATGTGCTGAAAGAAATAAACAGTAAACATCTGAGGAAAGGTTAAGAAGGTTAAATAATAATATATATTTTGCTTCATAGGGTGGTTGTAATTCTTACCTGGTATCGTGTTTCTCTGTGTCCATCTTTAGTGTTGGAAAGAATACTTAGAAAAATGATTTAGTCACATAATATTGAATACCTGCATGGTCCAACCAGACTACTGTAGTATTCTGAATACTTAAAATACTTTCAAATTGCATTACATTATAGTGTACAAACATGACAGAGAATTTAAAACATCACTATTTGTAATGAGTTTATGTATCACCAAATAGAGAAATAAAAATTACACACACGCTACAGAGTTATGTTTTCTATTTTTCATGCTAAAATGATACAATCCTCAATACATATCTCGATACAGTGAGCTTTCAATTTGATACAGTTCATGACAATATATTTCAAATCTATTCGATACGGTTCAATAAGAAATAAAGGCTAAATCGTGGCTGTGATACTAAAAGTCTTTGTTAAACCACTTCTTGTGCAAAGTTCATATGAAACACAAACATTTTAATCATCAAAACAGTGAAAATGTCAAATGTGTCGCATAAACGAGTTTCCTTCCATGAAACAAGCAACAAAACTGTAGCGCTGCAACAACATAATTTAGAAAAATATACAAAAAAATACTCTTGGTGATATATTGATACAGCAGCTCACGGTTTCGATACTGTGTCATCACATTAAACGATACGCTATATCGATATTTTTGCACACCCCTACTAATTACTGTGCAGTATGAAGCCTAAACTACATGAAATACCAGAAAGTCACCTTAATTATGCAATTTTATTAGTTTTACAAATGTATACAGACTTCTTATGTAAGAGCCAAACAGCATTCTATAAACTAAGAATGTATTAGCCAAACATAGAACTTATAGATACTTCATAATTTATAATTATATATATGTATTTCACCAGTCTCTTGTTATATTTTTTGCTATCATTTATATTTTTTTACTCTTTTTTATTATATTGTATTTTGATGTGTGAGCTACTGTGTCCAAATCATTTCCTTTGTGGATCAATAACGTTTGTCTAAGTCTAATATTTATACTTCTACTTTATACTTCTACACTACTCTGAGACGTCATATTGGCAAAGTGCAGAACTGAAAAGAAATACGTGTAAAATAGTAACACCGTCCTTAGATGCCCTTAGTGTTATCTTGGTTTTAGTTTAGGCCCATTTCCAACAATAGTACGATGCTTTCCAACAGTGTGCTCATTTATTTCTGGGGAAGAGATCCGCCTGCAGCCGAAAAGGGGAGGATATGGGGCATGTTTGGTTTCCAACTATTGTAGCAGTCTTTCTAAAATAACTTTGTTTTCAACTGTTAACTTAACCTCGTGACTTAGAAATTAACCTAAGCTGCTTATTATTCAGTGTCTACAATACAGTGGAAGACTTTTTCATTTTGTTTACACAATTGTCTTTATTCGTGGGTTTCAAGATATGGCAACCGTCCTTGGTCATAGCAATTAAGCAATCCAAATCAAAATATTATGTGTTTTGAATAGGGAAGGGTCCTCACAAAGTCCTCTAAATCAGGAAGGAGTTGTTTGTATGAAACCTGCTGTGACTGCCGTCCAAACATTTCTTTACAATGTTACAATTCGTAATCGACTCCTATCTGGTTTTCTCCTCTTTCCCTGTTTTATTTCATTGTCTGGAATATTTCCCATTGTGCTTGTGTCTGCTATAATCTGTGACACCCGTGGATCATTAAGTTATCATTTGCAAAGTTTTAACTGCAATATTCATCTAAAATAACTTGAAAGAAATGGATAGCTACAGATCACGCTAGGGAGCAGCAGGTTTTATTTCCATTTGTACCAAAATGACTATGCAACGCTGCCAAAAGAAATAAAATAAATACAATAAAAGTAGCAGAGAGCAATGGGCACGTGCCGATGTTTATTTACCGTATTTTTTGGACTATAAGTCACACTTTTTTCATGTTTTGGGTAGTCCTGCGACTTATACTCCAGTGCAACTTATGTATTAAAAATTTCACACTGATTGCTGTGAGGTGTGTTCCAGTATCTGCTATTACTATTACTCCTGTATCACAGTCACTTCACTCTACTGCGCATGTCTCCTGCAGAAAGGGCCTTTGTCCTGCTGCAAGTAGTGAAATATGCAGCCAAAAATGATATTCGAGCAGCAGAAAGAAAGTTTGGAGTGAGCGAGAAACTTGTGAGGGACTGAGGAAAGGCGGGAATGGAAAACACAGCTTCAGGGAAACCGGGAGGGTGCGCCATGTAACTTCCTGGAAGTCATTGGATGGATTGACAAAGCCTGGACTTCAGTGACACCCCAAACCATGCTGTCGGGATTCAGAAAGGCCCAAATAATTCTAACTGGAACTGATGCTGAGTTTGACGACAGCTACACAGAAAAGGAAGCGGCGCTCCGTTTACCTCCGAAGGTCGCCGAGTTGCACAGATGTGACATCGAGGATGAAGAATTTAATTGATTTAGTGAGATGGAGATTAGTTTAGAGTGAGATGGAGAGTTTGGTAAACTTGTTCTGTTCTGTTGTTTATGCTATAGTTATCTGAAGAACTGTTCATATGTGATGTTAACAGCCTGTTGTTCTCTGTTTTATTGTTATTACTGTAACTTGTCTTTCAAGATAAAATGTCTGTTCCTGGTCTCTGATTTTATAAAATAAATTTCCCCAAAAAAGTCCAATACGAATTATATATGTTTTATTTCTTCTTCATTATGTATTTTTTGGCTGGTGCGACTTGTACTCCGGTGCGACCGAAAAATATGGTAACTTTGATCAAAAAGTATGTCAAGATTTTTTAGGGTTCATTCTAGGTAAGACAATGACAATTCACATCAATGTAACTTATACGTAACTTATTTGGTGGAGCATTCCAGGCAAAGCAACAACATCTCCATAGAGACCCTCCATCAGAAAAATTACACAGTCCAAGAATCACACATGTTTACTAAACCTTTCTGCTAAACAAAGCT